TCAAGATTTATGCAAAATCCAAGTCAAATACACTATGGAGCAGCAAAGAGAATATTAAGATACTTGCAAGGCACAATTGACTATGGCATATGGCATGACAGACATTCATGTGTATGTGGAAATAATTGTCATATGATTGGAGATTACGATTGAGTACAATTAGCTTGCTAATTTGCCAGCTATATTAGGGAATTCCATTATGAATAATTAAAAGTATTATACCCTTAACTATAGGAAATGACAGAAATTATTAATTTGCCTGGCAATCCGGCCCTTTGATTTTGAAATTATAGAGGAGCTAATTGTAATCACTCCACTGCCCACAACTGGAGGAAATGACAGGAACTAAAAATTTGGAAGAAAACATATCTGCTCATGAAGTAAGTTAATATCAATATGAATGACTAAACACTAATCCAAAACCCATTTATATCGTTTTTGTGATCAGGTTCGAATCAATCGAGCCCACAAATTTTGTGTCAAGCTCAAATCGTGTTATCATGTTGTATTTAAAATCTAAATAATGTCCTTTCCGGGATCTTTTTTGCTAAGTTTCCTTATACATGGGAAATGCATATTGGTTTTTGGTAAAGTGATCTCCAAAAGGATTAATTTTAGAAGATGCACCTTGGAGACAAGGAAACAAATCGATCAAGGGCTAGATGAAGGATTTTGGTGAAGAGATTAGAAATGCAACACCACAAAAGAACCTTTAAGATAGAAAATTCAAGACAAAAGTTAATTTAATTTTATCGATTCGTTGATTGATATAGATTACCATAGGCTTATACCACATACGTAATTATTGTTGGTGCATAACAATATATAGGAGACCAAAATTGTTACATTTTTCGATTTCGTCACACCTAGATTCCTTCATTCTAATAACATAGAGCTAGGGTTCATATATTCAACCCCGGGCGGCCCAGTTCTTAAGAAATATACTGGTTGCACTTCTTGTAGCAGGAACCTACATGTTTCTTCACTTCCTCAGCAACTGCAGCTACCATTACAACACAAAGGAAAACAAATAGTTTACTTCAATTAAAACAAACAATTTTACATTCCTTTTTTAATTACATGAATATGCGCATAAATCAATTAGACAGACGAATATGTAAACATGTGTTAAACAAAACCCTCCTGAATGACCATTTGATTGCCTTATGCTAGTAATGAAATTATAAGTACTCTGTACATTGATAGGGGCTGGGCGGCGCAGCAGGGTGTCGATCTCCTCAAACATTTGTCACAGTGAGTAGGGGGGGCGGGGCAACATGCTGCCATGGCATTCTAAAGACCAGGATTCGTCACATATGTGTCGGTTCATAGCACGAAAGTGGGATCCTGGTGATGGTGATGGTGGCGGTGGAGCAGCACAAGCATAATGTAGATTTTCATGAGGATGTTTATGGTTGCTAAATCCATGGCTGCCTCTCTCCCCCAATCTCTCTCTTTGTTGTGTATGTTGGATGTTCAACAGATAATAGGCTTGGTGTAGCTCATGGAAGAGCTAATTGTAATCAATGGATCCACTTCGTACCCTCTCCTTAACAAGTGGTAGAGTACGCTCCTTAATGCCTCTCTAACATTGGGTTGGGTCGGGCTACGACTTTGCAAATTCTATCACTTTAAAATTTCATCATTTTGGCGAATGACTCATAGCTCAAGCGATTGAGACCCAGATTCGAATTGATGCACCATTAGAGTACTGGGTTGTTGTTAATCAAATAAAAGAAAATGGTGAACGTTTAAATGACTTAATGAATTTGAGTAGAACCAAACAGTGGGACATGAATGTAGAGTGAATATAATATATGCATGCAATACCATTATTTGGTGTCCTCAAACAGTTCTTGCAATTTTATCAACACATCTATTCATGCCAGGTTTTCTTTTTTCCTTTTTTGGAAGGGTAGTGTTGGTGGTGGAGTTGGAAATAATGGGCCTCTAGAAGAGAAAAGCATGATTATTTTTTTATTTTTTTGGGATAAATAAATGGAGGATTTTATCATTTGGGTACCAGTCCACAAAATCACTCTTTTGAGTTTTGATTTTGGACTTCTCTTTGGGCTACCTATTGCTAAAAAGTGATGGATCTCTACAGCAAGAGATGGATCCAGTGCATTATGTTTCTCAATCTTCTTTCTTTATCTATCTTCTATCACCGCAAATTCACAATGGGATATCTTTCACGTTTCTAATTAGTTGTCTAAATAAATTCCTGTAAATATGCATCAACAATTTATAACCATTGCGTCCATGGATTCGGTCAGTTAATCAGGACAGCGAGTTCATCCCTTGCACTCAAGTTCGAATCCTCCTTATCAATATGTGTAGCACGACTTCAGAAACCTAATTTCATACATGAATTACCCATGCAAAGTTTGAATTTGGGTAATGTGACTTGCAAAAAACTTGGTACATGAGGTGGACTAGGAAAAATGCAGCTAAGGCTGAAAACATTATTATCCTCCTCACCATAAACTCAAAAGCAGAGACCTCCGACCACACTCTAAACTAAATTCCTTTAGAATATGACCAGTCTCTTTTTTCGCCCCAAAGTTAGGCAGCTCTCACTTAACAGACAAAGACCCTTCAATCGTCCCCAAACCTCCGTATTCTTTTTCACGTTCCAGACAGTTTTTCTAATGCCCCCCACGTTGATTATGACACACCCTAAATATCCAAACGAATCTGAACCCTACAATTAAGCCGTATTGATGACAGTCACTATCTTACTCATCAACCAGGGTAACAAATACAGTTCTCTAACTTTCGACATCAACAACACACGCTTCAGTCGTCTCCGTGTGCGTGGATGACTCTAGATCATTAATATATTTATCTCTTCACGTGTTAGCAATTCTTCTTAAGCTATGAGTAGTCATGTTGACCGTTAATACATTGTGATCATGATATACTAATTTAAAAGTGGAATAAGTACATATGCATTTTAGAAAGGGACCAAAAGATTAGTGTTGAGATGTAGGAGCATCACATCAGACGGTCTAATGAGGAGTGTGGATTTTTGCGTCTACTCTTTTGAACTAAAAAGGTGTACACATATTTCTACTTTCTCCCCACCCAAGGTCCCATAGCCGAAAGAATCCATCTGACTACAATGAATAGTGTACAATTGGTGCCTTTGCTTAGATGGAATCAAAAAAGAAGAAGACAAAAGTGTGGCAAGCTTTATTGCCCATCATTCTTTCAATTTGTAGTTAGCAACTTAGCAAAACAAAATGGCATTTATGTGGGGCTTCAAAGCATACCCCAACCTACATACTCATATTCAAGTTCATCCATACCAGCTCCACTGCCACCTACATGGTGCCCTAGTCTTCTTTTTTACTTTTTCCCTTTTAATTTTTCTGTTTTGGCCAGATTTCTATGTCCTAGTTAGGAATAGGTTAGCATTATATTGACAACACGGATTAAAATAGATGTTTATGCTTTTCTTTTTTCTATCTTGCTTGCAGTCAAACAACATAAAAGACTTTTAAAGAAAGAGAGAAACAAAATCACCCTCGTCTGAGTTGTCTCCTAGTCTCGTGGGAATTGGGTAGGTGACTACCTTACAACAGTCATTATTTTGTTTCTCAAGCAAAAGTCGTTGCCACTTTATAAGAGTATAAGTCCATCTCCATAATTGGAGAAAAACTTAGTTGCAACGGGAATAACATTGTTTTGCTATTCCCGACCAATCTTGAAAGTGTTATCGCATGTGTTATAACATTATTAGAAAACAGCAAAATAATGTTATCCCATTTCACAAAAGTCTTTCTTCCATAATTGGCATATTCTTTTTCTCACTATAATTTCTGCAAGAACAGTAGCCGAATTAATCAAAACAGGTTTTCTTTTTGGGGGTCCAACCGATTTAAGAGCTTGAGAGCGATGTGGAAAACGACATCCATCCAATTGACACCATACAAATCCAAAGCAACAGGGCTAAGTGGGTTTCTTGATATTTGCATTCTGTTCAATTATCCCCTTTTTAAGTACAGAACCAAAAGTAAGCATAATGGATGGAGTAATGTACCATCAGAACAGAACACATGAGCTACTTTTCTTTTTCTTTTTCCTTTTCCTTTTTTTTCTACAAGAGCCATGAGCATTAAATGGCATTCTCAGCAAAAACAACAGAAAGAGAAATTACAAAAGCAAAACTTCTGATTAAGTCACACAGATCAAGTCTACTACAAAATACAAACTTCAGTGGGGGATTCTTGAGATTAAAATTCCTCTTTCTTCACTTCAATGCAGAGTTTGGTGGCATCTTACCTTGTTTGCTGTTACGAACTGAAAACAAAACATCATTAGTTTAATTATAATCAGTACAGGGAAGGAAGCAGTAGGTAGTAATAATTTAATCAATCAAGACAAAGTTGCATTTTTATATAGTGATTAAATATCAAACTTACGACAAAGTGCAGAAAGTTCAGAGCTCTTCAGCACACGCAGCCTCTTCACAGTAGACACAAACATGCTGCAGATCAAAGATAAAGAACCAAATTATACAAAACTGTTTTATGCTCATGGCAGGGCACAATCCTACATTTTTTTCAGGTGAAAGACGACATGCTACGATGTGGGAATCGTTGTGGGAATCGTTACATAAACAACAAACAAAAACAGTACTATGCATGATTTTTATGCATAAAGAAAGAGAAGCATATTGTTTTTAGATTAGGAATCTAATGCTGCATTATCTCATAAAATGGTGTGATTAATTTGTTATAGGCAAATCAAGTGTTGGAATATAATATACGAGCAAGAAGAACAATAATCTAAGCCTTGCATCAATCATCAATGATAAGATCGATGCTTACTTCCATGGGACATCCCCAACAAGCATCCTGTCTCCTTCATTATCTTCATATACTAGAGTATATTCCCCACTTCCATCCAATAAACCTGTAATTCCTTTCTCTTCCTCTTGCTTGTTCTGGGTTCCACCAGCACAGGAATCTCTTTGAGCTAAACATAAGAGAAAACGACGAAAAAAGTATTATATAAGTACAAAGGTTGCATTTTCATGATAAACATTAGGCACAAAAATCCAGGAAAATTATCAAAACAAATCGGAAGAAAACCAAAATGCTTGCCTCCCCCAAATCCTTGGTCTAACAAGTAGATGCAGTTTAGGCAACTTTATGCATTATAAATGGAAAGACTAGCTACAGATCAAATTCATAGTTGATACATGTGGCATGAAAAATAGATGTTACACATAAATTAGAAACGACAGACCACAAACTATATTAAGAATGACAATTATTTACCTGCCAGAAGGCCACGGAAGAGTTCATCAACAGCAGAGGAGAGGTTTTCATAGCTGTCAGAGGCACTGAGGTCTACTTTTCTTCCAATGGGAACTCCATCCATGTTAATTTTCACAAATAGACCTTTTCTGCTGGTTTCAACTTGTTTACCATTAGGAACCTTGTTTGGGACTACATTTTGGGACTCAGATGTTGGCTTTGAAGAACTGTTGCTTGCAAGGTTCTTCCTAAATGAACGAATTGGAGGCCAACCCACAACTGGAGCAGGAGCAGTTCTGTTTTTTTTTTTTTTTTTTTTTTTTGGGGGAACATCAAAAAAAGAAATAATTAGGCCAAATACAATCTAAAATATGTAGGAAAGGTGGTTTTCAAAGTTAAAATATTAATTTATTCAAAATATCAAGAAAAAATGTTATAAATAAAGCATGACAAAAATATGAAAAAACTTTTTAAAGTTGCATATCATAAACTTTCAAGAGAAACTATTTTTCCATCAGTACAAATAAAAGACATCAAGAACTTATGAATAATGAAAAGTGAAACAGATAATATCGAGGCAATATTTTAAGCAGATTTGAAAAGAAATGATAACAGAAAAAACAAAAAATTGCGTGAAAATGGAAGAACAGGTAGTATGCTTGGACAGATTTATTATGATGAAGCAGCAAAAAGTAATAAAAATCTGTATGTCACAGTAAAAATTATAAAACAGGGAAATAATTTGACACTACCACAAAAATGAATAAATAAGTGAAAAAAAATAGAAATATAATCAGATCCACTAGATTGATACAATAGAAAACATAAAGACGTGAAGCAGTTATGCATGGACCACACTTTGTCTATAGCTCTATAGCAATGAGAACCTGTGAGTGAATATCCTCTGTCTGAAAAGATAAAAATACATAAGAAAGGAGAAAAAAAGCTGGGATACCTTTTCTGAGAGCTGTTGGGCACAGCTGTATTTGCAGAAGCTGGTGAAAATACTTTCTTTTCTGCATTCTGCAAGTCTACCACTTTAGTGCAACAGGGCTGTGATGCTTTGTTGGGGGTAACAGGCAGGCCCAGAGAACTTGATGTGAAGTGAAGAAAAGATGGAACTTTTGTCTGCTGTTGATGAATATTTCCCAGCTGGTAAGACCATGGAGATGAGGACAAAACAGAGTTGTCTGAGGAAGAAATAAATTTCTGGGTTTGGTGGTGGTTTACGTTGTTGTTGTTGTTGTTGGTGTTGGTGTTGGAAGACATAGGGGAAAAGTACCCCAGAGAGAGAAGAGACTCATCTCTTTCTTTGTTGCTTCTGGAGTTCCCATTCAAAGACCAGTCTTCACCTGGAGGCCCAAGCCTGAGCTCCAACTTTTTCTCCTCTGAAGAGCCATGGCTTCTCTCATCTCTTTTCACAATCCAATCTCTTTCTCTTGGGATCAAATCTAGCAGTTGTGGACATGCCTCCTCATTTCGTGTACATCCCTCCATCTCAGTGACCATAAACAAGAAGACAGTTTTGAAAATAACCCAAATGTAAAAAATCAAATCTTTTTCTCTCCCTTCTACTTTACACACACCAGAAATCAGTGGCTGGGCAAATTGGAGAGCCTCACTGTGAAATTAAAGGCACATAAAAGTTAGAGGGTTGAGGGACAAACAACAAAGCACAAAAATCAACAAACTTGGACTGCAAAGAAAACATATACATGAACACAGAGAAAAAATGGAACAGAAAGGTAGAAAGGTCATGTACCTTTTATACAAGTGTTTAGCCAAAGCTCAAAACTATGAAGGCCAACATCTTCATGTGCGCAAAAACAAGTTGTTCTCTCTATCACACACACCTTGATATCAGAAAGAGATGGGTTTGAGTCAAAAAGAAAACAGACAGAAGGGATCTTGATGAAGAAACAAGGACCAACTTTCAAACGCCACAACCAGTGAAAATCCTTAAGAAAACTCCAAGACTGAAACACAATATAACAAACAACATACAAGAAGAGCTAGCTAGAGCTCAAACGTACATAAAAGCCCACAAGAGGAAGGAAGAAAGAAAACAAATAGAATACCAACCAACCCAAAAGCACAAAGGGTATAGAGAGCTATGAAAGGGTGGGATTGATGTCTAGCTTTTTCTCTTTTAAATTTGCTCTACGCTTAAGTAGGTTCTCTCCTCTCTCCATTTTTTTTCCTTTTTCTCTCTCTACTTTTGTGACTTGTGGGTTTTGAACAGTTGTCTGAGAGTGATCCTTACAAATAAGAGAGAGAGAGAGAGAGAGAAAAAAGATGAGATGAGCAGAGAGATTCCCTTCACCCAAAGAACCCCAAAACAGGAAACAAAATTAGAGCAAAACGCACGCAACCAGAGCCCTCTAAAAAAAACGTTAGGTTGTTCAACTCAAGAAGCAAAGCGTGCTGTGCTGACCTCCCCCTAAAGGTACTCTCTCTTCACTACCAAATATTTAGCCTCATTAGCACACGGCCCCAAACATCCCCCTCTTGTTTGCAAATCACATTCTTGCTTCCAAAGTCACTGCCCTTATGTTTGAATTGATATGTTCAGCACAAACCCCAAGACATGTTTGCATTAGTGTCAAAGTCTCTGATTAAGTAAGTGTTAATTTAGGGTGTGTTTGGATAAGCAAGACACTTGTTGTTTTGTTAGGCTTAGCTTTTGAAATAATTAAATTATTGGGTTGCTTTTTAGCAGGCCAAGAAAATTGATGGATGGGAGATGATGTCTATTGGTCAATTTTGTTTTTGTTTTTTTTTTTCATTTTAAAACTCTGTGCTCCCAAAGGAAAAGAGAGAAAAAAGTTGAGAAAGGATTTGCATGATCCATATTTGCAGGGCTTGCGCAATAAAAACATGCAGATCCCATGATCTTGTCTGCGCTCTCATCTCTCTCTCTCTCTCTTGTTGCAGTCCACACATCCCAAAACCAAATGGGACTAGAGCGAGAGAGTCTCATGCGGGTGAGCTCACCATAAGGACTGTGTAGACCATGCACCATAGCCGTTGGATTTGTGATCTCTGTTTGTGGACGTTAATAGATGGACAAAACGCGTAGCAGCAGGACACAAAGCCCAAGGGAACTTGTTGTACTGCTCTACTATTCGCAGCTTAAAGGAGAGCTGCCTTTTTAATAGTGTATGCGATGGGATTTTTATACGTACTACTACTCTTTGATCCCTACGCTGAAAGAATCTCAAAAACTCGGCAAATAATCGCCTGTATCGGTTTAAATCGGTCAGGTTTATTTTTCTCCCCACGATGGGTGGTTCACCAACTCCCAACATTGCACTTCATGACCATGATGCCCTTTGGTCGCTTCTTCAATTGAAACACTACACAGGTTACTAAAATACAAGATTTTATGCATTATTTGCGTCTAACATCTAGTTTTCCATCAATTAATGCTAAAAGGATAATGCAGTTTGATCACATTATATCCATCTGGTTTTTCATTTGAGCATTAGATTACGTTTTCTTATCACATTATTAGTTGTTGTGTTGCTTATAACATCATTCTCAAAATATGTTATCACTATTCTTTTGAAAGAAACATTCTCATAAATAAAAATTCTTATACGACATCTTAAAGATATGAAGAAAAAGATATCTCAATAAATTTTTGTAAGATAAAAAATGCAGACAAGTGTGCATGTAATTGTCATTTCACTAATAAGGGTTTACTAATCGTCAACACGTGTAATTGTTTATTTAATGATATGGATCTACAACCGTTGACACTAATTTTTTTGTTGGACCAAATGCTTCTATTATAGAAGCACCATAATTGAATGACTATAACAATCAAAACTCTTCCTTATTATGTAGATTAATACAAATGTATAGGCAAAGACTTATATTATGACTAAAATGAACTATTACTAGTCCACTTAGTTGGCAATAAAATCCATTTTTTCTTCATTTTGAAATGACAAGTAATATAAACATGCCCTACCTCTCCTCACATCATTCCCTCTCATTTTCCCTTGCAATCTTATCTCCACCCTCATTCTCACTTCCGTTCTTCCTCTTTTTCCTCTATACTCTAGCACAAAAAATAAAATTTTAAAATTTAAAATGAAATAATTATCGAACTGGGCCAAAAAAACAGTGTGAAAATAACATCTTTCTATAGCAGAATATATGTAAATGCATAATGTTTGCAAATAATAATATATAAATTTGTGTTCGCCATGCAAATTATAATATATTATTTCACGTAGAGATAAGTCATTTTGGTCAATACGGCAATACCACACCAAAAAGAAAATTACATAAATTGAAGTGATTTTGATGTATACATCAAAACCGTGGACTACATTCAGATGTACTGTTTTCAGGGTACAAGTTTTCAATATCTTCCTCTCTTTTTTCTTTGGGTTTTCATTTGATTCAGATAAGTAAGCTACAATTTTGAAAGATTTGCAGAATTGAAGGGGGTGGGTTGGTGAAAATGTACCCCCCAAAAATTGACAAGCTTGAAACAAAGCAGATTTCCAATATTAACCTTCAACTTGGACTATATGGTCTTTTTAACGGACAACATTTTTTTTACACAAAAGAAAAAAAATCAAAAAACCGGCGATTTAGTAATTACACTGGGGACCGCAGTGTATGGAGCCACGGTCGGCTGGTCTGGTTGGATACTGCGAAACGCATACTTTGTATGAGCCCAAAAGTACACAGCCTAACTGTGGGCTGTGTGAATCTAGGACTGAATGCCACGTGTCGGTAGCTTAAAGCCCTTTGCTTTTTGTGTTTGTGGGGGCATACGACGTCGCTTTCCACTCTCGCGTGGGGGTGCACGTGACCTCTTGGCCTCCGACCAACCCAACATGTTCGACGTTTAACGCCCTCTCTGACTGTGAGTCATCGGAGTACGTAATTATTACGTACGGGAGGACTTACAATAATTTCGTGATCTGCATCGAATCAGCCATTTTTCGAATTTTGTTTTTTATGTTTTGCAAAAACACTAAAAGAAAGTGTTCTTGTAAATTATGATAATTAGTAAAAAAAACGTGAGCCGTTGATCTTGTAATAGAAGGTGAGGAACAGCTCGTGATGTAGACGTCAAATCAGGACGGTCGTACTGGTCATGATGCCTTTGTCTTCAAAACATAACAAGAATTTATTGGATGGAAATCAGACATGGCGCACTAAAGGCTGCCAGTCAAATCATGGGAGTCACTTCGATGCCTTAATCCCGACCGTCTGATTCATCATTTTTATTTTCTCTTCATTATTTATTTTAGGTTATACAACTGTAGCACCCCAAAAATGAGAAGGAAAAAAAAAATGTTGACTGGTATGGTATGAAGTTCTTTGGTTAAATTTGTCATTTTGACGTTCTCAATTAATTATGAATATGCTCTCATCGTAATTTGACAATTTTGACGAACATTTTATTTTTTACGTTGCGAATCACTAGTGTTATAATACGTGATTTAATTTATGCTTTATATCATGATATATGAGTCATTTTTTGTTGTGATTCTTAGATTTTTACGTGGTGTTATCAATTCACTTATCTTATAATGTTTGACTCTATGTATTAATATTATACTTTAGATCCTTCAAATATCAACTCTCTTGTCCACTTGTATTAGAACATATGAATTAGTAACATCACGTGACAATGTCACCATTGTACACTCAGAAACTTCTCATGACATATATCAATCATGATATCTACTAATATTACACATGAACAACTAATATCGCATTACAATATAACTGCTGCACACCAAAAATTCTGAATTTTGACACCGACTTTTAGTGGAAAAAAGAAATACACATCATTAATTTGAGGATCTTATCCAAAGATTAGATACTAATCTAATGCGCTTTCGACTGATAATAAAACAAAAACGTGACAAGCAAATCTCAACCTAAATAACCATAAACTTCTTTTCATGACCTTAGTCTCTATTTCTTTATGCCTTCGGCTTCTTCTTCTTCTTTTTAATTTATAAAAAACGTGTTAGCTTGAGTGCGCGGGCCGCTGTGTGGGCTCTACAAATTACAAATGGGCTGCTTTGCCTCTCATTTTCAACCAAGTTTTCTCCGCGTTTTTTAACACCAAAACCATCCACAACACCACCAAACCATATAAACAAACAACCATCACCATGTATACATATATATGGAACTTAAATGGAAGGATTCTTCAAATAGGTTTATTTGAGTGACATTCTTATAAGGCCCACCATACATTGTATTTTATTAATTCAAACCGTTTATTTTTTAGATATTTATTTGAAGATCATCTATGCAAAAAATACTTAAATCCGATATCATTTAACCACTCAATTAAATTATTGAAATTTTAGCATTTTTTTGAAGTATCATGTTTATTGACTTTGTAGTACACAATTAGATGTCTAAATGGGTTCTGATTTATCCAATTTTTTACAAGAATTATCTATGAATGAAGATTTAAAAAATAAATGATTTTGATCGTTAGAAAAAAAATAAATTATAGGATATCCAAAAGGATATCTCTTAAATAAAATTATTTGAAAAATCTATATATATATATATATATATATTACACCATTGATATATATCCCAAACTTTATTCGTGCTTTGGGGGCAGACCCCACTAGTACTGATACTTTTATATCTCACACTAGGTGATCAAAACTCAACTTTGTCACACAAGCCCACTTTTCACAAACATGGCCCCCCCCCCCTCTATTCCTTGGCCTCTCTTTTTTTCTTCAATTCATTGATTGCTTCCATTCCATCACTGTCTTAATTCCCTATTTTTTTGTTGCTACATTCCATCACTATCCTTTGGATAGTTTTGTTGTGTTCTTTTTGTTTGCCTTCACTTTAAAATTTGCCCTAGTACTGGCTGCTATACTGTGACTAGTGTGATTTGTGGTGTAGGAGTAGGACCACTCTTGGCCTGTGCGTGGATATATTTTCTTTGGGTTTGTAGGGGTATTGATTTGCTATTATAGAATGGAACCCAATTCCTCACTTCCATAAATGAACAGCAGGTTTGCATTTGAGTAGGTTGCCTTTTTATTCTGTAACCTAGTGTATAAACCTGCCATCACAATGTGTCGTAGTTTGGATGGATCGGTAATACCGCGTGATGATGGTGTTATTCTGGTGTCATACAAAAGTTTCGAGTAAATAATTATGTAATTAGTTGTAAACTATACGTGTCAAGTAAATTCAGGTAACTTACACATGCGAGTAAAGCACAATTAGATTTTGCTTTTGCAATGCAAATAAAGCACACCCCAACTTGATATTTTTGAAGGAGGGGACGTTTCATGTTTGTGATCATTCGAAGCATGAGGTTGCTGGCTAGAGAGAAATGTTCATAACAACCATCACGAAGCCTCTTGTGTTAATTATTGGCATGGGCTAAAGGGAGCTTTCAAAAGCTTTTGAGAGAAAAAGGCAGGTTTCCATAAAAA